TTTAAAGGTCCATCAGAGGTCTGAGGTCTAAGAGAGTTTCCTTGATTGTTTCACTCGAGGTGACCCCYACAAACAACAGAAATAATAACTACATGAACACTGTTTTGATAATTACTCAAATACCTTTTCTTTAAAAACTACCAACAGTAATCTTAAAGACAATCTTAAGAAAATAAAAATTGCAGTTTTGTTTCAGGAGCTGCTTGAGTACTTTTGTCTCATTTTAGTGTTTTCAATGAGGAGCTCTGGTATATTTATTTTAAAAATTATGGCATGGAGATTCTTGCACAGATTTTATTTTATTTTTTATTTTAACAAAACTGACAGATATCTTCCCTAAATAATTGTTTAATTTAAATGGATTATATTTACAGGATTTCAGCTCATGTAGTCATTTAATACTATGCATTTTTCATTATTACTAAATCACATTTATCACAGGTCGGAGCCGTGCTGCAGGTGGAGATGAGGTCCAGCTGCCTCTGAGCCTCTGCTTTGTATAAATGATGGTCAGGTGATCTCTCGCGGTTTTGTTGTGCGCGTGGACACATGGTGTTACGGCGGAAACACTGAGAGGAGCTTTCAGAAATATAATATATCTAATCCTAGGTGGAAAATAGTCCGGGAAACACTGACAGTATTCCTGGGAGCGTCCTCCTGCCCTGAAGACTCGGTTATAGTCGCGCTCTGGGTGCTCACACAGCAGAGGTGGAGGTGCTTACGTTGTTATAATTTTCTCCAAAAGGWCATGCGGCAGTACACTTTATAACTTGTGAAATGTTGTAAACAGGAGCTCTAATGCTCGAGGAACAAGCTGTTTGGATGGTGCTCAGCACGGGCAGCCTTGGAGTGACTCGAGGCTGCGCTCACCCGCTGTCAGTCAGACAGCCTGACCCTCCCTGCTCTGATCTGATTGGTAAAACTTTGACTGTGGCTCTTTCTATTGGTTGAAAGAACTGTCACTTTTAATATCTAGAAGTTTTTTTCTTCTTTCATTTTTACAAATGACAGTTAACCGTTGCGGAGGAATATTTTACAACCAGGAGGCGGGATCTGGTTGTGTCGACCCCTAACCTCTGATCAAACACATCATGTTCCCCCCGTGATCACTAGCGCCCCCCCAGTTTGGGAACAACTGGCATAGAGGACTGGTCAGAGGCTGCTCCCAGGCTTAGCTTTAACTCTTTAAAGAAAGAACATTCCTGCTCCGAAGCACTAGGAGCTATCTTCCATTAACTTTATTCAAACACTGCCTTTTGGATAAATAATSCAAATGAAGATGTTGAAATAACAACTTGTTCATGTGAAGGGGCCTGTTGTTAGATTCTTGTCTTCTGTGGCCACAGAAATCTTCCCCAGGGTGCCATTCCTGAGGAGTGGTCCCATCAGGACCWCTGCCAGCTGCTTCTGCAGAACTCTACAGTGGACACCAGTTCAGACTCGCTCTGTGGTTGTTGTGGAGTTACAGTACATCTGACTTTGACTGACTGCATTCTGCAGGTGTTATGTAATGTGAGTTCAAACACTGAGTGGGATTGTGGGTGTGTGAGGAGACAAGTGGTTGATATGAACTGACACTGTCTCTTTCTCTCTCTCTCTCTCTCTCTCTCACTCACACTCACACTCACACTCACACTCACACTCACACACACACACACACACATACACACACACAAACACTAGTTCTATTTAAACCTGCACACCTGCAGGCATAGAGCCTGCTCAGAGGAGCAGATGGAGTTGCAATTCTCCCATTTTTTGACATGAAAAACACAGACTTATTCCCAGCAGTGACAAAATCATGTACCTTGATGTATTGATTGCAGTTTAACTTTCTTAGATACAAACTAAAAAAACACAAAGAAACTTTTTGCTACATTCTACACCTTCCACCTCAGCTTTGAGTTGGTTCAGTCCAATTCCACTATGCTGATCTTAAGGTTGGTTGTTTTTGGCAAAAACGCACTTCAGATTTGTCTCGTAATAGTTAGATTTTTTTTGGATGTTGGTTTTTTTCTCCTGTAGAGCTAATTAATGCTGCAAAACAAGCTTCAGCACAACAACAAACTGTTTAAAGTATAAAGAGCCTCTTAATGAGGGCTAGTATCACCTGCCAAGTTCAGGTTATCTTTAATATCCCCGTGGGGCAATTTGAGTTACAGCCAGCAGGAAAAAACATTTATCAACAATAAATACAGTAAATACCATAAAAACTATCATGGTACAGGCATGTCTACTACATATTTGCTAACAAACACACACAACACTCAACAAGAAGTATTTAAAAGGATGATAACAGGAAAGAATGAATTCTTAAATCTATGCCATTTGATGGCTTCACATTGTTGCCTTTTTCTGTTTTTAAAACAGTCCCCTGATTGGAAAAGCATCATTAGGAAACAAGTTGGAAAAAAGCCTTGGCATCTGCATTAGTTCCTTGAATTTGCCCTTTGTTCCATCTTCTTTGAATATTCAAAAATCACAGCCTGTCCCTGACAAGCAGAGGCTCATACCTAGAGGGGCATGACTTATACAGATCTGTTTTCATGTCTCAGTTTTTTCTGGTCTCTTATGAAGACATTGTTTGATAACTGCTCTAAAAATCTGTAGTGTTTAGTGAAAGTATGAGAGTAATTCAAAGACAAAAAGCAAAGAGCAAAGACAAAAACAGCTACAACTCTAATATTTCTCAACATAAAATAAGCTTAGTCTAAAGCGCTGGCATAAAAAGGCAGTTAGTGATTTCCTTCAAGGAATGATGGATCTTAAATTGAAATTTCAGTGTTTGAGAGTTTGCCAAAATGGTTCAGAGCTTATCACTAATGTTTGACTATCACCCAGCTGCTGCTTCTGTTGGATATGATGTTGCCCCTAAAATTATTTTTTATTGTATTTATGCCACTATACTGTATATTAAAATTATGCTCCCAACATTGTTTCAAGAAACTACTTCCTAAAATATTGGGGTATTAGAAATGTACCTTTAAAAAATATGTCTAAAGAAGTAAACAAGTTCTTCAAATTATGTGTCTTCTCTTTATCTGATTCACTGTTTCTGCAGCTGCCAGAGTTAATTTAAACTCAAATGCTGACAAGGAAACCAGATGATAGGACATAACCAGCACAACCAGAAATGACAGCAGAACGTGCCTTGGCATATTTCTTTTCTTTCTTTTTTTTTCCACTTGTGAAAACCTGTTTCAGTGCTGCATCTATGCCTCTACTGCCTTTACTTTATCTGTTCTGAACATTGCTGAAGTCACATACTGTAGCGAGATAGTAACGGATCAGTAACGGATCCAGGCAGGCGACATGTGTGGAAAAAAAGGGGGGGAAAGCAGTCCTGCAGCTTAGTTAATGATAATGAACTAATGACATTAGCGTGTGACCGAGCCGCTGCTGGAAGAACAACAAACACATGTTTGTCTGTAATGGCTGCCATCTACCGGTGCTCTGAAAAAGTTTGTATCCCTGAAAAAAGTTTCCCCACCAGAGGTGGCGAAATTGTCAAATTACCTTTTAGTACATATGTTGTTAAAATAAAATGAACAGTGCATTGATCATTTTACTGATATGTATAAAGGCTGAAAAATCTTGAAGTCTGTTTCAAATTGGTGGTAGTTTGAGGATTAGATTTTTAATGCTTTTTAAGCTCAAAAAAAAGGGGGGGGGTTGTATTATACATGAGATTGTATTATACATGAATAATACGGTAGTTGAATGATTTGATTCCAAGGAATTCCTCTGTCTTGGAGTTGTGATTTATCACCTCTTTTATGGTTTGGAAACCTGTTGGTTTTCATACCAGCAGCAAAACATAACTGCAGATTTTTACTGGGAAGGCTGAGTGCTGTGATGTTGCTGAAGGAGCTAAAACTGATTTGTTTGAGCTATAAAACATAAAACACTTGCTAAAAAGCTAACTAAGGTAGAGCAATAGCTAAAAGCTAAGATAAACAAAACAATATGCGAGCTAAAAGAAGCAAAACACTAGCTAAAAGCCAAATGTAGCAAAACACTGGCTAAAGCCTAATCGTTTGCATGTCTGTTAGCAAAACATATCATGAACCACTTTACAGACTTGAAAGAAAATTACAAGTTATTACCYTTTAGTGTCTGATCCAAGACGACAGCCCCGGCTAACCAACCTATGAATCTATTGGTTAGTTTGACATTTATATTGAGCTAAAATGTGGCATGGAAGTAGACATTCACAACAACTCCAAGTGCYAACAGATTGAGTGAGATTGTAAAAGTTTGTGCATAACTTTTTTTCACAAGTTTTCAATTCCTATCAGATGATTTTAGAATAATGCATGAAAAGTGACAGATGATACGTATTCCTTTCAGAAAATCCTACAACTTTATTTGCAACTGATATTATTACATAATTTCCCAATACTACTGTAATTGCATGTTTTTTTTCTGTTGTGTAGTCTCAAATTGAATTATTTTTTGGAACTAAATCAATAGTGTCACTGTTGCTTGGTGCAAATGAAATATATGTATTTCCTACTGCAAGCAGGTTTTTCCACCTACTCTTTGAGCACACATATTAAGGACACAATAAACTTCTACAGATAGTTTTAATCCAGAAAGTCCTCGTCATGTTTCTGAAATRTAAAACTTGTTTGAAGAGCTTTTGCCACTAAGCTGGTACAGGCCTGAAGCTACAAGATGATACTGACAGTGTTCAGATGTTTTTTTTTTCTCAAAGCCTGTTTACCTCATTCTTCCTAAACCTCGTCTCTGTTCAGTTATACAAATTAAACTGTGACAAAATGGTGCTTACTTGAGTTTTATTAATTATTTAAGAACCATGAAGGGGATTGACCTTAACTGTTTTGCGGGAGTTTCATTMTGCAGAAAGGTGTATTTTGGTTTGCGTTACTATACCTCCACTTTTGTCTTATGTTTGTCTTCCAGTGGCACCCCTACAGAACTGGCCGTTTTGATTGAGAAGCTGCAAAAGAATGCTGATAAGGTGGAGAAGAACATCTATGACATTGAGCAGAACCTCAACAAGGTAATGGAAAAATGYAGATAAACATCACAGCTGGATTTTTTTTTATCAAATCTTAATTTATCCAAGAATGACCCTTGAGTTTTATACCTGCACATAACTACTGTATAAATGTTATTATGTACAATATACTTCATCATCAAATCATTGCACTACCTTTGTCTTAATTTGCACTCAGCTGTTATTGTTTGTCTTTTATTTGTTATTATGAGTGTTGTTCTTATTGCTTCCGGTTTGTTTTGACCTTCTCTGCTGCTGTGACAAACCAATTTCCACCAGAGGACCAAGAAAGAATCTTTATATTCTCCATTAAAATGTTTAATATAACATTACCATGGTAAAGGCAGGCAGCAGCTCAAAACAGCACTGAAGTATAAAACACACAAACACACACAAAAAAAAACTATTTATGCATTACACAAATGCCTGATACTGGTATCAGTATTGGTGCATACCTACCCATAATTACACCCCAGAAAGAGAAAAATGTGTCCAAGCAGCTTCACCTTTCTAAGTTTATGCTATAACATAAAATCTTTGGGATCCTCAAGGTTGCTTTACTTTTTTAAAGACTCAGACCTAGAATTATAAAATTRGGTCAAAACATTGTTTATAGTCATACAGGAAATGACATCAGCAGGTACATTCAGTGCTTCTGCAGAAGACTTTAAACTGCTGATCATACAAACTCAGGTTCAACCAGCTTATTCCAGTCATTACWAATGCAGTCTAGTTGTGTCATGTAAATAACCACAGAACCAGACAGATGATTACYGTGTGAGAGAGCCAGCTTACCACTGTCTTCTAAGAAAAGACAAACAGTAACTTGTAAAAGTTTGCTCAGATTACTCCCATTTTTAAATCTGGTGATCCAACAGAAGTTTCAAACTATCGGCCAATTTCTGTTCTTCCTATTTTTTCTAAGTTGCTTGAAAAAACATTATTTAATAACTACTTCAGCATCTAGAAGCTAATAATATGCTAAGCAATAGCCAACATGGTTTCCGCACGTCAAGGTCAACCATGTCTGCATTAATTTCATTCACTGAACAAATACGTGCTGCTTTGAACAAAGGTCAAGTAACTGGTGCTGTATATATTGATTTTCATAAAGCGTTTGACACAGTTTATCATTATACTCTCTTACAAAAGTTGATTTTTTTTCAACTTTCATCATCTGCAATACAAATGTTTTCCTCTTATTTGACTGATAGGTGACAGGTTGTGAAACATGGAAGCTCTGTGTCCGGGTCTCTGCCCTGTTCCGTGGGAGCTCCGCAGGGTGGCATACTGGGCCCATTGCTTTTCCTATTATACATAAATAACCTTCCAAAAATATTGAAGTATTCAAATATTTTAATGTATGCTGATGATACTGTTCTTTTTCTTTTGTCTGATTTCAATATTGAATCTATTAATAATCAGTTACAAGCAGATCTTCAGACATTTCATGTTTGGCTTCAAGAAAATCTTTTGTCAATTAATGTTAAAAAAAACTGTGTGCATGTATTTTTTCTCACCCAGGAGACATTTCAATATAACAAATCAACTCACTTTTTTAAACAAACCCCTTGATATTGTCACTACCTACAAATATCTTGGAATTACTTTGGATTCTCATTTGACTTATCGTGATCATGTACAAGTCTTAACCACTAAGCTGAAACAGAAATTATACGTTTATTCAAAAATTAGATCCAATCTGACATCTTCGGTTTCAAATATCTATCTTCATGCCATTATACTCTCAACCATGTCGTACTGTTTACCTGTTTGGTCTCTTACAACAAATGAAATCTTAGAACCCATAGTTAGGCTCTRCAACAGGGYCTACAAAATTCATAAAAAACTTCCTGGTTGGACTCATCACTGTACAGTTCTTTCATTGTCTGATGCCTTGACTTTTCAGAATTATGTTTTGTAYAGTGGTWTTARTTTATATTTTCAGATCTTCCAAGGTGCCAATTATGGAACTCTCTGTGCATTGTTGCCCAAATCAAATTCTGGAAGTGATCATTCAGCTAGATCTGTTACAAAAGGACAACTCCTTATTTTAAGGGTTCATCATTTTTGTTAATGAAAATTACAAAACAGTAAGAAAGCTAAAAGAAGGTTAGGGCTTTGATTCCTGGTGTTTGTGCCATTATTATTTTAGTTAGAATGTGGCTGTTTTGACTTGTTGTGAATCAGTTAGGAATCCATTTTGGTTGATTTGACAGCTCTAATTCTTCTGTTCATTTTTTTATTTTATTCATTTATTGATTTCATTAAAACAAAACAAACAATTTATACTGTATATAAAAAAATGAAAAATATTAAAAAGAAAAATTAGAAAAACAATATACAGTATGTCTATCAAAATCACAAATGAAATGAAAGGTAGCAGAGAGAAGAAAAAAATATATCTGCTCCTTTTCTCCCAAGAATACGTTCATACAACAAATCTATATAATTAACAAAACAAAAGACAAGAACATCTAATCCCTCTAGAATAACAGTTAATATGGGTGCATTTTATACTGTTTCATATTTTTTAACAATAGAACCTTTATCATTTTCTTGAATGTACACAATGATCCTGCATTTTTCAAATCATTCCACAGTCTTATTCCCTGTATTAAGGTACACCGTTCCCTCAAACTAGTTCTGAATCTGGGTTTTACAAATACTGTATATCTGTCCCTTTAAGGTTATAACAACTTTTACTCTTAACAAAATCTACCTGGATATTTAAAGGTAATGTGTTTATGTGGGCCCTATACATAACCAGTAGGATGCTATAATCAACCAAATCAAAGAATTTCAATATTTTCAGTTTACAAAATAATGAATTTGAAGGGTAGCGACCACATTTTCCAGTAATAATTCTCACAGCTCTTTTCTGTAATAAAAAAGAGGATTTGTAATTGTCCTACACGCTTTTCCCCAGACTTCATTACAATAAACTACTGTAGATGTGGACCTATTATTGGATTATACAACATATACAGTGCTTTATCATTAAAAAACTCCCTTACTTTATACAGAACAGCAATAGATTTAGCCATCTTTGCTCTTAAGTAATTTACATGAGGTCTCCATGTCAGCCCTTCATCTATCACTACACCTAAAAAATTCACTTCACTGACTCTACAAATCTCTACCCCCTGGACTTTAAATGGAATATCATCATTTGATGGTAAATTGTGTTGTCCAAATATTTAGTGATAGGTTACGTCCWCTTTGCTGCTTGTCAATAGGAGGTCCTGCATCAAAGATCAGGATGGGATTGTGTTCTGACTAAAAAAGACATGCAGAGAAAAGGGGTCTAGACCAGTGGTTCCCAAACTTTTTATCTTCTGACACACAAAATATTCATGGCAAAAACTTGTGACCCCAAATATTACTGGTCTGAGTACACAAACTTTGTCAATAGCCCTAAAACAAAGGCTACACAAATATAAATACTTAGTTTGTGTTTTTTGTAATAGTTATAGGGAAAATATTACATCACCAATTATTTTATTACCCTTTAAATTGATTTCTGAAGTGCAGTGGTTCCCAAACTTTTCAGCTTTTGMCCCACAAAATAACAGTAGCAGAAACCTGTGCCCACAACTATTTTTGGATGATAAACATTTGTATCAGATCAACTAAACATGGGCATAGTAACAATATTTTTATACTACATTTATACATTTTAGGCAACTAAGGCTAAAATGTAATTAATTTAGAAAAACCTTTCAGGACCCCACCTTGATGTTTCAGGACCCCACTTTGGGTCCCGACCCCAACTTTGGGAACCACTGGTCTAGACAACCTTCAAATGTGGTTTGAGGGAAAATGTTTTCAATGTGCACTGTGGCAATCCACACCTGTATTTAGAACTTTCCAAATGCAGTTCCATTGCAATAAACGGCTCAGAAGATCAGGTTTAAACAACCTCTTAGATCATAAAACTACTTTAGTTTACTTTATGACTGTATTTATGATATAATTTTGAAAAGACAGTTTTTTCTTCATAGTTTAAACATAAAATATTCAAAGCATAAAATGAAACTTTGAACCAAAGAAACTTAACTTATTCTCATTCTTTCATTCTGCTACATCCTGCRTAGTCTTTATCATGAAACGGAAACCAGCAGTGTTTGTCTCTCAGTGCTTATTTTGCGACATGAACACTTTTTGGTTTTGTTGCAGGATGTGAGCAAGATTAACGAGGGGAAGCAGACTCTGTATCAAGAGGACACCAACAAGAGAATCCTAAATTCTCTTGAGCTGCTCAACGTGCTGGATGACGAAGCTGCCAGCGCCAAGCGCCTCCAGCATCCTCAGGCTGAGATGATCCAACACGAGTGAGCAGAGATTAGCTTTCATTCTACTTAAAAGATAACCAGTTTACAAGATCTATGTCATCCTTCTGATAATACTTACTCCAGAAAAATTGTGTATCATCTTTTATATGACAGTCTGTGCTTTTTTTTGTCCCTGTGTTCAGCATGATTCAGCTGCGTGAGAGGGTGCTGAAGCTGAGAGAGGACCATGAACGTATCTACCAYCTGAGCCGCACTGAAGGCAAACCCACAGTTAACTGGGGCAACATCATGGATGAGAAACTGGTGAGGATGTTGCTTGTACACTTGCTTCACTGAGAACCAGCTGTGTTATCCTTCATGGATTAGTTGAAGCATTTTCTGTATGTTTCTGCGTCCTAAACTGAAATATGAGTTCAGATCAGATCTTATAGCAGTCTGTGAATTATAATGTTTCTTGTGAAAAAAGAAACAGTTACTTCAACGTTATACTTTAAATTTAGTGTTTTTTTGAACAAACTAAATATGCTTGCAGTAGATATTTTTTTATCACTAAACAAATTAGATAATAAATAAATATTTTGGACATCATAAATTATTTCTATGGAAATATTTTATAGTTCTTTGAATGATCTCARTTTGTAGAAATAGATTTTAATTCTGACAGAACTGAGAAGCTGCCATCTTTAAACAACTCCAGACTTCAGAATTTGTTAGAGGTTCATACAAATACTGTTATATAAACATTTAAACCACAGTCAAATTCACAATTAATATTTGCTTTTTTTTACAAAGATTTTTAAGATTAGTTGAAATATTTGCTACAACTCTTATCCAAATAGCAATATTTAAACKTTTACACTGCCTTCTGTTTTGCATTACACAGTCATTTCTGCAGTAATAGTATTATTGTTATATTATAATTTCGATCCAAAGGGTCCACGGTTTGCAGTGGAAGGGCTACTGCTGTTTGTGCTTGCAGCTAATCACAGAATTCTGTGTAAATACCTTTAATCTGAATCATGTTTATAAACCAGTTGTTTAGGAAAACACACAAAACATTTGTTTCTAGCTTGTGGTATCTCTCAGATAGTGTAGAACAATACAAAACATTACAAAACTACTCARTAAAGTACATTTATATATTTTGTACAGTACACTGTGCTTTGAAGGAATCCATTATAACATGCAGCATGAATCATCTATATGGTTTATAAAAATTTATAAGYAAACACAGAAACTTATTTATTGTTTGAAATGGTGATGCTTGTGTGTTCGTACCATTAGTATTTCACTGCACTGCAAAAATTAGCCATCAAAAATACTGGATTATAGTTTGAATCTTCTCAAATTAAATGAAATAATTTGCCAGTGCAGTAAGACAGTTCTTAAAGTAAGGAAAGATGTACAGTCTGTTCTTACTTAGACTATCAGTCTCAAAACAAGGTCAAAAACACTTTGTTTGGAAATAAGATTGTAAAACTTTGTTAGGACAATTTCTGTAGTGTGGGCATGGATTGTTAGATACTTGATAGTTTCTCACAATTATAAGAAAACAGCCAAATTCTATTGCTTATTTTGTCACAAGAATTATCATTTTTTGTTTTCCCATCTAACACAATTATAAATTATTATGTTAGATGAGCTTAGATATCGCATCGTATCGATCAGACTTGTGGATTGATTTGAATCAAAATCGTTTTATAGCAGACTTTGGGATATCAAGAAACATCATATCATCATCCAAACAAATCAGTATAATATTGTACTGTGATTAAGCTAAAGATTTATATCCCTAGTGGACTTGTTTGTTTATGCAGAGCATCACGTCTCTGTGCATTATTTGGCTGAAAATGGTCGGCTCCTGAAGCAGCTAGTTAAATTAGCATGATGGAGTGTGTGACCAATGTCACATCTTCTTAACAAAAAATATCTCATCCAAAAACATGAACCTTCCTTCCATTGTTTGATACGTTGAGTGAAAAAACAACTATCTAATCAGCTGCCTCTGTTTATATGTTTAGCTATATGCTACGTGTGCAACATTGTGGGATCTGTGGGAGAGATTATGATGATTTTTCCCCAGTGTCTATGGGAGTTTGAAAACTCAGTAAGAAAAAAAGATATTCAAAATGATGTAATCCCTGACCTGCTGTCTCACATTTTGTGGAAGTAGCACTTCATGCTACATTTTGTCTTTCAAAAATGAAATGTTCAAAGAAACAACTTACTTTATAATCTACATATTTTGAAAGTTTAAAACAAAGTTTGGCTGTTAGCCAAGACATCGTTCAGAAAATGTCATGAATTATCAAGAAACCTTTATAGATAAGGGTGAACTCTACCRAATACTCTGTATTATCCACAGCTGTATTATATCTGCCAGGTTTACTTGTAATAAATTTAAGTGACATTGAAGCTGACAAGTGTTTTGTTGTGTTTCCCTCCCCCAGGACAACCTGAACAACAAGGGCTTTGGCCAGGACCTTCCCACAGTGGAGTGTGATGTGGAGGAGCACAACATCTTCCACAGTGAGGTGGAGGCTCTGGCTCCTCACATCGCCACCGGTGGAGACAAGGTAGAGAAAGAAATTAAACAAGGAGCCTGTTCTGTGTGTTTCCAGCTGTGTTGAAGTGCAAGTCAGAGTTGTTCTACCTCAGCCACAGTTATGTTTGCTTTGAGCAGAGCGCCACCTCAATGTGGGCAGGGATAACGATATTAAAACTGCACAAATCCTGGTCTAAGCGCATCGTACTTCTCTTTGTTTTCTAAATATTTCACGACCAGCTAAAACAGAGAGAGACTCTGTCGCAGCCAATCAGGTCATTGGGCCTCATGCAAGAACCGTTCGTACGCACAGATTTGTTCTTAAGTTGTGCGTACGAGTGATTTAGGAGAATTTGTGGCATTCACCAATGTTTTCGTATTCTAAGATTTTTTTTCAGATACCAACAAAATTCACGAGTGGTCCAGACCTGTCGTATATTTTACGAGCAGTCAGTCTGCTGTTATCCAGACGGGTTTTCC